GACCCACCAAATACCAAACATCTCCCTGTGCTGGTTACTGAGCAATCGCTGCTTTTTACCATTACTTTGTTTATCTCAAGTTTTTATTTAAATTCCAGTTAGTTAACATACAGTTTAATATTAGTTTCAAGAGTAGAATTGAGTGATTCATCACTTACATACAACACCAAGTGCTCATCACAAGTGCCCTCCTTAGAACCCATTACCCATAAGCCCATAACATTTAACCTGTGACCCACCCAGAAGCTTGACAGCTCTCAGTACTAACCATCTTTTCTGTTGGGATTTGTGGTAATATTAAAACAAATGACGTTCTTTAAAATTTTTTTAACGTTTATTCATTTTTGAGGGAAAGAGAGAGACAGAGTGCAAGCAGGGGTAGGGCAGAGAATCAGGGAGACACAGATTCCTAAGCAGGCTTCAGGCTCCGAGCTGTTAGCTCAGAGCCCCATGCAGGGCTTGAACTAACAGACCATAAGATCCTGACCTGAGTCGAAGCCGGAGGCTTAACCAACTGAGCCAACCAGGTGCCCCAAACAAGTGACTTTTTTATAATTCGATTCCACTCTAACTAATGCTGGAACACCTATATTACTTAGCGAAACAACACACAACACGTTACTTAAAAACATTCATGCATTAGTACAAGATCCATTCCATGTGCAGATGTGCCTATGGATTTAATGTAACAGAAAAACACAGTCAATGATACTGTTTCAGATTCCAGTTTACTAAAACCTCACAGAAAATACACGGTGTGTAGATTTACTATAGTACCAAAGATGAATTTCCATAATTATCTGAAAAGGTTATGACACATACTATTCTCCTATATTTGGTCAAGGACATACATTTTTTTCATATACTTCAACCAAAACAACACAATAGATGCAGAAGCAAATCTGAACATCCAGTGATCTTCTAATGAGACAGACAAGAAAGAGACTTGCAAAAATGTGAAATGTAACAGAACAACTATTCTCACTGCCCCTTTTATTTGGGAACATTGTTACTTTCCATACTAACAATATTTCTGTTTTCATGTGATTGTACATGAATTAATAAATATTTGAACCTGTTTTAGTCCTTCTGTGGTAAATAAGGATCGATATAATCCACAGGCACACAATTATCCCTGGGACCCTCACTAATTTGTAAGACTGGAGAGATGTCCTGAGAACAAAATGCTGGAGAATCAGTGACTCACGCAGCTCCTGGTCCACGGCTCAGGGACACAGTAGGACAAAGAGAGCTCTGTGCAGTAGGTGAAGCGTCCAGGCCAAGTCCCAGGTCCCCAGGCCCGCCTCTCAGGGTCTCTGGCCCCAGGGAGGTGTCGGGGGCGGGGAAGCCCAGTGTTGGGGAGCCCCCATCTGCCCTGGTTTCACTTCTCCCTGTCACAACCTGTGTCAGTTCCTTCTGCCTGGATACTGATGACGCGGCCTCGGTTCACACACCTATTAGTGTCCAGTTTCTGGAGAAGCCAATCAGCGGCACCGCGGTTCCGGGGTATCAAGTTTCCGCACCCGCCTCCTGAGACTCACATTTCAACCCAGACCCCGAGCATGCGGTTCGTGATGCCCCCAACTCTGTTCCTGCTGCTGTTGGGGGCCCTGGCCGTGACCCAGACCTGGGCGGGTGAGTGCGGGGTCGGGAGGAAAGGGCTTGTGAGGGGCAGGAGGGAGAGGACCGCCCAGCGGGGACGCGGAACCTCCGGGGGAGGTGACTGTCCTCCGCCCCGACCCCAGACCCCCACCCGCCTCCCGCCCCGCCCCGGGCTGCCCTCCCCCGACCCTCCCGGACTCCGCCCTGCTCTCCCCAACTCGGGTCCCCCTCGCCCTGCCCTCCCGTCCCCCTCCCCCTGGGACCCGGGCCCCGCGCGGGGAGGAGGGTCGGGCGGGGTCTCAGCCCCTCCGCGCCCGCAGGCTCCCACTCCCTCAGGTATTTCTACACCGCGATGTCCGGGCGCGGGGAAGCCCGCTTCATCGCCGTGGGCTACGTGGACGACACGCAGTTCGTGCGGTTCGACAGCGACGCCCCGAATCCGAGGATGGAGCCGCGGGCGCCGTGGATGCAGCTGGTGGGACCCGAGTACTGGGACGAGCAGACGCGGATCGCGAAGAACAGCGCACAGAATTTCCGAGTGAACCTTCAGACCGCCCTCCGCTACTACAACCAGAGCGAGTCCGGTGAGCGCCGGGGCTCGGGTCCAGGTCACGACAGCCAGCCTCACGGACGGGCCGGGGTCGCCCCGAGTCTACGGGTCAGAGCGCTGTCCCGAGGCCGCGTGACCCCCGTCCCACGACCTGGAAGAGCCCGAGGGAGATTTTAGGCGGTTTTACTTTTGGTTTCACCTTAATCACTGCTGCTCTGGGGGCGGGGCGGGGACAGGGTCGCACAGCATCCAGAGAATGCATGGCTGTGACGTCGGGCCTGACGGACGCCTCCTCCGCGGGTACAGTCTGTTGGCCTACGACGGCGCGGATTACATCGCCCTGAACGAGGACCTGCGCTCCTGGACCGCGGCGGACACCGCGGCGCAGATCACACGCCGCAAGTGGGAGGTGGCCGGTGGTGCAGAGCAGGAGAGGAACTACCTGGAGGACTTGTGCGTAGAGTGGCTCCTCAAGTACCTGGAAAACGGGAAGGAGACGCTGCTGCGCACAGGTACTGGGACCGCGGGGCCTCCTTGATCTCCCCTCCACTGGGGCTGGCTGCCCTAGGAAGGGAAAATGGACTTAGTATCAGAACGATGCCCTTTCCATGGGTGGGAAGAGGGAGATCCGCCTCGGAGTTCATCTGCCTACTAGAGGCTGACTCACCTTGAGGATGCTTTTCTCTAAAAGAGAGACAGGAATCCAGTCTCTCCCTGGGGTGCAAGTTGAGACATCCCTGAAATAACCCATCACAGTTCCCTCTGACCCTGGAAGCCACCTTGTGAACCATGACCTTCCCTCTCAAGGCCTTGTCTCCATCTGGGAACGTATTTGGAGATCTGACTCCGGGTTTTCTGAGTCACTCGCCCTCCACCACACTCAGGACCACAGTGTGTTCCCTCCTTGGACCTGCAGCCTCCTACCTGGGCTTCTCTCCCTGATTCCAGAACTTAACAAGGATCAGGAGATCCCAAAGGCTAGACTGCTGTCTGGGTTTTGTGCTTCTTCCATCCAGACCAGTTGTCCTGTCCACCTCAGGATGATCACGTGGATGCAGTTTCAGTGGCCCATAAAGCTAAACCACAGTGTGGTTTCTCTGTTTCTTCTTCCTCAGAGTCTCCCAACACACGGGTGACCCGCCACCCCATCTCTGACCGTGAGGTGACCCTGAGGTGCTGGGC